GAACAGAGGAAGAAGAAAGAAGAAAAACAGAAGAACAGAAGAACAGAACAGAAGAGAACAGAAGAAGAAGAACAGAAGAAGAGAAGAAACAGAAGAACAGAAGAACACAGAAGAACAGAAGAAGAACAGAAGAAAGAACAGAAGAACAGAAGAACAGAAGAAGAACAGAAGAACAGAAGAACAGAAGAAGAATGAAGAAGAACAGAAGAACAGAAGAAGAACAGAAGAACAGAAGAAGAACAGAAGAAGAACAGAAGAAGAACAGAAGAAGAACAGAAGAACAGAAGAAGAAGAAGAAGAAAGAAGAACAGAAGAAGAACAGAAAGAACAGAAGAACAGAAGAACAGAAGAACAGAAGAAGAACAGAAGAAGAACAGAAGAAGAACAGAAGAAGAACAGAAGAAGAACAGAGGAACAGAAGAAGAACAGAAGAACAGAAGAAAGAACAGAAGAAGAAGAAACAGAAGAACAGAAGAAGAACAGAAGAAGAAGAAGAAGACAGAAGAAGAACAGAAAGAAGAACAGAAAGAACAGAAGAAGAACAGAAGAAGAAGAAGAACAGAAGAACAGAAGAAGAAGAACAGAAGAACAGAAGAAGAACAGAACAGAAGAAACAGAAGAAGAAGAACAGAAGAACAGAACAGAAAGAACAGAAGAACAGAAGAAGAAGAAGAAGAAAGAAGAGAAGAACAGAAGAACAGAAGAAGACAGAAAAGAGAACAGAAGAACAGAAGAAGAACAGAAGAACAGAAGACAGAAGAACAGAAGAACAGAAGAACAGAAGAACAGAAGAACAGAAGAAGAACAGAAGAAGAACAGAAGAACAGAAGAAGAACAGAAGAAGAACAGAAGAACAGAAGAAGACAGAAACAGAAGAAGAAGAGAAGAACAGAAGAAGAAAGAACAGAAGAAGAACAGAAGAAGAAGAAGAACAGAAGAACAGAAGAAGAAACAGAAGAAGAACAGAAGAGAAGAAGAACAGAAGAAGAACAGAAGAAGAACAGAAGAACAGAAGAAGAACAGAAGAACAGAAAACAGAAGAAGAACAGAAGAACAGAAGAAGAACAGAAGAAGAACAGAAGAACAGAAGAAGAACAGAAGAACAGAAGAAGAACAGAAGAACAGAAGAAGAACAGAAGAAGAAGAAGACAGAAGAACAGAAGAAGAAGAAGAAGAACAGAAGAACAGAAGAACAGAAGAAGAACAGAAGAAGAAGAACAGAAGAAGAGAAGAACAGAAGAAGAACAGAAGAACAGAAGAAGAACAGAAGAACAGAAGAAGAAGAAAGAACAGAAGAAGAACAGAAGAAGAAGAAGAACAGAAGAACAGAAGAAGAAACAGAAGAAGAAGAACAGAAGAAGAACAGAAGAACAGAAGAAGAAGAACAGAAGAAGAACAGAAGAAGAACAGAAGAACAGAAGAAGAACAGAAAGAACAGAAGAACAGAAGAACAGAAGAACAGAAGAACAGAAGAACAGAAGAAGAACAGAAGAACAGAACAGAAGAAGAACAGAAGAAGAAGAAGAACAGAAGCAGAAGAACAGAAGAACAGAAGAACAGAAGAAGAACAGAGGTAACAGAACAGAAGACAGAAGAAGAACAGAAGAACAGAAGAAGAACAGAAGAACAGAAGAACAGAAGAAGAACAGAAGAAGAACAGAAGAACAGAAGAAGAACAGAAGAACAACAGAAGAACAGAAGAAGAACAGAGGGTTTATATTAATAAATGTTTTTCAGACTTTTCAAACCAAATGTTAAAAAATAAATAAAAGTTGTGCTGTTAAAGACACAACATCTGCTGTGGCAGGAGATGTTTTCAGGTCGGTGTCGGTTCCTGCTCCAGTTCCTCGGGGAACCAAAGTTCTTACGGAGAACGAGACGCGTTCGTTCAAACGTTCAAGTGAAACGTGAAGATCATGGACAGATTTACCACCGAATAAAAACAAAACCCAACGAAAGAAACAGGAGGAACATCTGCTGTGGAGGAACATCTGTGTGGAGGAACATCTGTGTGGAGGAACATCTGTGTGGAGGAACATCTGCTGTGGAGGAACATCTGTGTGGAGGAACATCTGCTCTGCTCTGCTGCGGAGGAACATCTGTTTTGGAGGAACATCTGCTGTGTGGACATCTGCAGTGGAGGAACATCTGTGAGGAACATCTGCTGGAGGAACTGTGTGGAGGAACATCTGCTGCGGAGAAACATCTGTGTGGAGGAACATCTGCAGTGAACAACATCTGTTTTGGAGGACATCTGTGTGAGGAACATCTGGAGGAACATCTGTGCATCTGTGTGGCAAACATCTGTGTGGAGGAACATCTTGTTGTGAGGAACATCTGTTTTGTGACGAACATCTGTGTGGAGGAACATCTGCTGTGGAGGAACATCTGTTTTGGAGGAACATCTGTGTGGAGGAACATCTGCTTGTCTTGCGTGAAGGAGGAAAATCATCTGTGTGGATGGGAGGAACATCTGCTGTGGTGAACATCTGTTTCTGTGCATCTGTGTGGAGGAACATCTGTGGAGGAACATCTGTTGTTGCTGTGTGGAGGAACATCTGTGTGAGGAACATCTGCTGGAAGGAACATCTGCTGTGTCTGTTTTGGAGGAAACATCTGTTTTGGAGGAACATGCAGTGAGGAACATCTGTGTGGAGGAACATCTGTGTGGAGGAACATCTGTGAGGAACATGTGCATCTGTGCAAAGGAACATCTGTTTTTGGAGGAACATCTGCAGTGGAGGAACATTCTACTGTGGATTCGGTGGCAGCGACGTTCAATCCAAAGATGAAACCTCACCTGGATACAGTAAATATTTCTTCTCGTCCTCTGACCACGGCTCGATCTTCTGTCTCTTGTTTCTCCCTCCGTGTTCCTCACACTCATTTTCTTGTTTATTTCTCGTGTGACTCGAGGAACCTGCTCAGGTCCACCGAGTCCTCACCACCTCACAAAGACACGTTTACTTGGTTCCTGAACGCTCGGATTTTTCGCCGGTTCGAGATTCGGTGCAGGAACCGACACCTTCACGATTCTGTCGACCTGAAAACGTGAAAAAGTGTGGAGAGGAGGACCTGAACCCGAAACCTTCTGGTCTGGGGTCAGATCGGAGTCGTACCTCGGGTGGGGGAGGGGGCAGGTTTTTGTCCTCTGGTCTCGGTCTGTAATCTGGAGGGAGGGTGTCCTCTCGCTCTCCAACTCTCACCCCCTCCTCCTCCTCCACTGTGGCCTCCTGCAACACACGGAGAACATCAGATCAGGAGAATGTCAGGAGAACATCGGAACATCAGGAACACATCAGGAACACATCAGGAACACAGGAACATCAGGAACATAACATCAGGGAGAACATCAGGAAGGGAAACATCAGGAAACACATCAGGAACATATCAGGAAAACATCAGGAACACATCAGGAACATATCAGGAGAACATCAGGAGAACATCAGGAACATCAGGAGAACATCAGGAGAACATCAAGAGAACATCAGGAGAACATCAGGAACATATCAGAAGAACATCAGGAGAACATCAGGAGAACGAGGAGGTTGTGTCTGAATGTCCATCTCCCCCCTAGCTCCTCCCTCACTACAAAAAACATCTCCAACTCATCTCCAAAGCTCTGAAGCTCTTGAGAGAACCGTTCCCCTCCACCTCCAGTGAGTCCAGCTCCACTGTCCCCACTAGAAGAACAAACGAAGAACAAACGAAGAACAAACAAAGAACAAACGAAGAACAAACAAAGAACAAACAAAAAACAAAAGTCTCCTGACCTTCACGAGCTGGTCTGGTCTGGGAGGAGCCTCAGGTTTGGGAGGTTCTGCTGAAGGAAGGAGGTCTTCAAGAGCGCTGAGAGCATCCAAGGACATGGACCCGCCCTGGAGGAGAGAGAGAGACAGGTCAGACAGGAGCAGACAGGAGCAGACAGGAGCAGGGAGCAGGAGCAGGAGCAGACAGGAGCAGGCAGCAGGCAGGAGCAGGCAGCAGACAGAGCAGGAGGAGCAGGCACAGGAGCAGGCAGGAGCAGACAGGAGCAGAGCAGACAGGAGCAGGGAGCAGAGGAGCAGGAGCAGGCAGGACAGAGCAGGAGCAGGCAGGAGCAGACAGGAGCAGGCAGGAGCAGGCAGGAGCAGGCAGGAGCAGGCAGGAGACTCTCACCTTCTCCAGAGCAGGTCTGGAGTCTGTGACGTCTTTAGGTTTTGCTTCTGCTTTGGTGGGTTTGGTTTCAGATTTCTTGAGTGGAGGAGCAGCAGACGACTGGACCTTCTACAAAACAGAAGAGTTCAGGTTTAACCTGCGAGTCTCAAACCCCCCGGGACTCGAGCAGGACTCAGGTCGACACGGAACCACGACGAGACACGAAACCACGACGACGACGAACACGAAACACGACGACACGAAACCACGACGACACGAAAACCACGACACGACGACGAAACGACGACGAACGACACGAACCACACGACACGACACGAAACCACGAACGACACGAAACCACGACGACACAAAACCACGAAAACACGACGACACGAAACCACGAACGACCACGAAAACCACGAAAACCACGAAACGAACACGAAACACACGAAACCACGACGACACGAAACCACGACGACACGAAACCACGACGACACGAAACCACGACCACGACGACACGAAACCACGACAACACGACGACACGAAACCACGACACGAAACCACGAAACCACGAAACCACGACGACACGAAACCACGACGACACGAAAACCACCGACGACCACGAACACCACGAACGACACGACACGAAACCACGAAACCACGACACGACACGAAACACGACGACTACGAAACACGACGACACACGACACGAAACCACGAAACAACACGAAACCACGACGACACAAACCACGAACCACACGACACGACGACACGAACGAAAACGACGACGACGACCACGACGACACGAAACGACGACAAAACGAACGAAACCACGACGACGACACGAAACCACGACGACACGA